TTGCACGGTGGTGTCTGGTTTCATATTAGGTCTTCCTTATTCTGGTGAACAAAAAGACTTGGACTTCTGATGTGTTGGAACTTTTCCTGCTACTGTTCAGAAAGGAGAGTGTTTCACTGTCAGGGCAGAACTGAGGAGCAGATGAAGCTGGTGCTTAACAGTAAGTTGTCTGCCTTTCCCCCCAGTTAGGAGTAGTCTCCCTCTATCAGCATGGGCAAAGATAGAGTAAGCTCTCCTGTTAGACCATATGCTAATATGGTGCTGATAAGTGAGTGTGAAAAATGAAAGAGAGAGATACATTAATTGTATTCTTTCAATAAGGCATACTATGCCAGGTAATTATTTCATGACAGTTTTAGTTTTAGCACTTGTTTTGTCATGAAATAAAAGATGGTTTTAGGAGTCTTTTATTGGAAAGACAATTGTATCAAATTAGTACAAATTAAATTTTTGTCTTTACAGAGGTGAGCAAACCCATGAGCAGTTTTTAAATTGATGTGTTCTAGTCTACAAATGAACAAATCCTGTTTGAGGGTTAAAGAAGCTATTATTTTGTCCTTTATGCTGACAGCTTCATTACAGATTGGCCTACTGTTGGCATTTAAAAAAATGTTTGGCTCCTTATGATCTTTGTGCATGCAACTATAATATTAATGCAGCGCCATAGCACTGTTCATTAAGAAATGACTTTAAATGAGGTTGAAGCGTGTAAATTTGGAAAGATACAGATGTTAAATGCAGTCGTTTCTCTTTGTGTACAGCTGTATGGCTAATAATTTCCAAGTGGCTAAAGCTCTTGTTAGCAGGAGTGCTGGTGTGTTAAGAATGGCTCTATAAAAAACTTTAAGAACTGAAGTTGAAGGTGCTTCTTTTAAAGACTATTGTTAACTAAACATTATTGCCAAACAGATGGAAAGCATTCACCAGCCTGATGTTTTTAGGTCTAATTATATTATCGCCAGCCCTGTACGGCTCAGTTGAAGAGGTGTATCCAGAGGCCAATTTATAATCATTTAGCCAACACCTGTTTGGGAGAAATTGACAGTCAAAGGGCACATTTTAAAAAAATCACATATGTTCTTGTGTTTATTGCCTCAATGTGAATGGCGTCTAGTTGCAAACAAACTTGGTAGGAGAAGAAAGTAAATGTAAACAACGCAGTACTTGCCAGCCCGTTTATCCATCTTAATTTGGCCTTTTTATCAGATCTGCTTCATGCTTCACAGCTAAGTGAGGGCAGGAAAGAGATATCACTCTTGATTTATGCTGGTATATTTTGTTCAGTCAGATGAGATGCTTCATTTCATCGTACAGTTTTGATGCCTTATGCCTAGTGAGATGTTTCCTATTTCATAGAGCCATATCTTAGTCAAATACCATTGGCTTTCTGGTGACTGACCTAGAAGAGTCACAACTTGATGTAAAAATAAATGAGACTTAAAGAACACTAAATATCGTCACAGATCCAACAGGTGTTCATTGAGCTCGCCTTTGTAGAGAGGACGCTGAGGTCCCTCCATTTGCACTCATGATATATTAACTTCCAAAGTTTAAATTCTCTCATGTGTCTCTGCCATGAGGTTCAAGATTGATGTTGAGTGTAGCTCAGAGGGCAGATAGATAATGAGAGAATACTTCTGTGCTATCTGAAAATAATAAAAATCCAAACCTTTCTTTGGACGGACGATCTCACTAATACTTTAATTATAGCGTTTTTTCCTTCTTCCTTCTCTCCTTCACAGCGGAAGGATTTTTATGTAGAACCCTGGTTCTTTTCACCCCTTGATAAGGCAGAGCAGCCCAGCTTCTGCCTCCAGCATTCCCTGCATACTGCAGTGTGGGCCAGGCCTTTCTCACTCCCTCCAGCCTTGGTTTCCAGGCCTCAGTCCGCATGGTGTCTCTGGGATGTTTGGACAGACGACCACTCATTTCGCTGTTTTCTTTCCCCGATGTCAGACTTACTATGTTTTCCTGCTTTGTGGCACTCTTCTCCCTACACTTTAGTTTCTCTTACCTGCCCACAATCCTCCAACTCTATAACTTCCAATATTCAGGCATAAATAGTGTATTATAGTGTTTATGTGCAGCATAGCTTAGCACCTAAAGAGGAGGGACTCTGGAGCCAGTTTGCTCGGGTTTAAACTTTATCTGTACCACTTTTTAGCATTGTGAGCAGGGTAAGTTAAGTTTTGTGTTGGTTTCCTCCTCTGCAGAATTGGAATAAAAGATAGCTACCTGTTTGGTTATTGAGAGCATTCTGGGCTTAGTTCTTTGAAGCCCAGCACAGTCTTTGGAATGAAGGAAGGAATGTTCCAGTGGGTACACTGTCGTACCTTCATCTTTTGCCCTGTGGAGAATGCTCAAATATAAATTTTTAGTCCTGCCTTAGTCTCTAAGCTCCATTCCCATATTGAAATGTAACTTCTAAACCTTCAGACCTGATTTCACTAACTACATATTCACTAACTACAACATTAACTATGTCTGAACAAAGCATTATGTGATAGGAGAAATAGTGTTTCCACTCTACTGCACTCCTAACAAACCACTGCCCAGTTAGCAGCCTAAAACAATCCAGTGTGCTATCTTAAAGTTCTGTAGACCAGAAATGTGACACAGGTTTCTTTGGGCTAAAATCCAGGTGCTGGCCACGTTGTGTTCCTTAGTGGAGTCTCTTAGTGTGGGGTGGTGGTGGAGTTCTCTTCTCTGTAGCTGCGGGTCTGAACTCAGTTTCCTTGCTGGCTTCAGCTGAGGGCAGGCCTTTCCTCCTGGAAGTTGCCTGGGTTCCTTCTCAGGCTTGCTTTGAGCTCCCAGGTGCCTTCCTTTGGGTTCTTGCTTGTGGTCTCTAGATTTCAGAGCCACCAACCACACATCGCTTTTGTACTCTGATCTCTCTGATTTACCTTCCTGCCTTTCTTCTGGCAAGAGGTACTTTTCTGCTTGTAAAGGTTGATGTGATTCAATGGAACCCATCAGGATAATCCAGGGTAATCCCTATTTTAATTTGTTCTAATTACATCTGCAGAGCCCTTGAATCGTATCTGAAAGAGCTAAAAGTCTGGTTGGGTGATAGACATGTGAACAAATAAAGCCAAATTAAAAGGAGCCAGTACTATATAAAGTAGCAGCATAAAGGAAGAAAGCCTCCAGTGTCATAGAGAGGCAGAGGGACATTTGCACGGAATGTGGAAAGATGAGTACTTGTCTGGTACATGGCTAGGGGAGCATTCCAGAGAGAAGCAACAGTGACAGCGATAACAGTAAGCACCATTGGCTGTACTTTTATATGGTCACCTCACTACATCCTCACAAATGGCACATAATATTATGTACTATTATAGCTTCTACACTGTGAAGCTACAGTGTATTCAGTGTGTAGAATGGGAATGGTAAAGTTATCTCATGGCGTTGTTGAAGGGATTAACATGCTTCTGCGTGGCTGACGCATAGCACATAGTAGGTACTTAGGATATGGCAGGTGGAAGAGTAGAGGGTGGTCAGGAGAGATGCTTGGAGGAGAATGGACTTGGTCACCAGCTCTGAAAGGAGGAGGTGGGGACTCAGAGTGACTCGGTGTAGGACTTGCACAGAGCGGGGCGCTGTTCAGTACTGTGGGAGGAGGAACCGGGTTTTGTGGCTGCCTTTGTGCTGTAAATAAAAGCAGCACCTGAGACTGCAGGGGCCCACGAAGCCCAAAATGTTCGCCATCTGACCCTCTGCAGAACGGTTTGCCAACGGATGTAGAGATAATAATAAAAATGGTACACGGTAGGGTAATTTCTTACCTCTGTTCATTCTTAGCCTTCAAGCTGGCGGCCATGTGACAGTTCAAGGTGGACAGAGAGTGAGATTATGAAGGGTCTTGAAGTCATTTTATGGACTTAGACTTTTCCTGTCAGTGAGATGAGAGGAGCTATGTGATCTAACTTATGTCTTAGAAAGAAAAACTTGGCTGCTGTTTTGAGCCGAGGCCACAAGGCTGCAAAGATGGAAGCCGGGAGATCAGCTGGGAGCCGCTGAGGGAAGAGTCAGACTCTGCTTGGATCTGGGTAACGGTGGAAGTGGGGCACTGAGTTAATCCTGATCCATTCTCACAGAGAGCTGATGGGATTTGCTGATGGTAAGAAGAGGACTTAGGAACGATCCAGGCCGGAGATAGTGCCAAAAGGATGTTGGGGTGGTGGTTAGAGCCTCAGTTACTGAGACCGCTGGATAGCAAGAGGCTACACAGAAGATTTGAAGAAGAAAGTTGAGACTTGAGCAGTTTTAAAAAGCTACTTCCTCTTCATCTTATATGTTCCATGAAGAACAAATTCTTTAACACATTCCTACCTGCCTGAGCTACTGGAGGTGCATCAATGACTGTCTCGTCAGGCAGCTTGTACCACCCTATGCGACTGTCCCATGCCTCCCAATGGGACAGTCATGCATGTACCACCGGTGGTTCAGAGCTGCCCGGCAGCGATATGTACTAATTACGGCCCTTTTGTGAACATGTTGTATTATCTTTACTTTTTTTTTTGGTACTGGGCATTGAACTCGGGACCTTGCACTTGCCAGGCAGGCGCCAGAACCACTGAGCTAAATCCCCGGCCCATATTATCTTAACTTTTAAGAAATGGGTTTTTAACATAGCAAAAGTATGGGACTTTTAGAAAAGGAAATCATAGATGAGCATGGTGGTGCTTGCCTGTATTCCCAGCACTTGGGAGGCTTGCCGTGAGTTCGAGGCCAGCCTGGGTACATAGTAAGTTCAAGGCCAGCCTGAACTACATAGCAAGACCCTGTCTCAAAAAACCAAAAGAAGAAAGAAAAGAAATCATAATAAGTTCTATTTTGGATAAGACTTTTGATCCTGTGATTTGTGATTTAAAAAAAAAAAATCTATTTAGAAATGAATAATTTGGGGGTATTCATTTCTAGTACCCCCTTTGTTTCCAGAAGTTCAGTTAATGCTTTCTTGTATTATGATTAAGTTATTATTCACATCTTTTATGTAGGTTTTACTTGTAATGGACACAAGGACAGAGCAGACATTCATCTTAAAAGTGAGTAGAATTTGTATATTTAATGAATTTTAAAATTTATGTTCAAATTATGCTTTTGAAGCAAAAGATATTTAATACTTTTTGCCTGGGTTCTTGACTGTTCTTTTGTTTATGGTGAGCTCGACTTTTTCTGTCCTGTTATCACAGTTAATATACATACATTAGCATACATTTCAAATAGCTTTATGCTACAGAATATGCAGTAAATAATCTGGATAAATTGAAGATCTTTTTTGTAGTTTATATCTCAGATGCATTTCATTCAGCTTGTGTAGCTCACACACACTCTTAACTTTGGATTATGGCTGCATTTCTTAAGAACTGAAAATTTGTTACAGGTGTTTTGGAAAACCTTATCTGCATGTCTGGCCCTCTTTTGATCTAAATTCAACTTGATTCAGTATATACAGTAGTTTAATTTATAACTAAATGAGTAAGGTAAGAAAAACCCCTCAATTTTGTAATTCTGAAATTGTTTTTGGAATGGACTGTGATACCCTAACTAAACATTTCCATGGTATCCAGAAGGTGACTCGATTTATTAGACACTTCTCTTTCTGATGCTCTTTTTGCTGAGAAGGCATGGCAGTGGGTCACATTGACAGATACCGAAACACTTTTCCTATTTGGAATATACTCTATCGTTGACATTTCCCAGTGTTTTGAAACCAGGGTGACACCAGAAAACACACACACCTTGTTCTTTTGGAGGAGACTGACATAATCTTTGTGCTATTTTGAAATAGAATTTTAAATTTGCTGGTTTAATCTGGGAATATCTTTTGTGTCTCTGGAATTTGAATTGATCTCACAACATCTCCTGCTTTAAAAGATGTACATAAGTAAAATAAAACTTAAAAGGTCAGAGAGAAATAACTGCGTGTCATCCTGATGACTTAGTTTGAGAGCATCTCTAATAAAAACACTGACCCACGTAATTGATTTTAATGGCAGCTTTGTGGCATCTTCTGTTCTCTGGATCCATGCCAGATGCCATCAGCAGAGCCTCCAGGGACCGAGGGGCATAGAGCAGCAGATGAGTGGTTTCTCTGAAGCCCGGAGTAACTCGGATAGATTAGTTTGGTTGATAAACACAGAGCACAGCAGGCTCCAAAGGCGGCTGAGGGTACAACTGACCTTTTTGTTCTCTGTCAGGGTCTGAGGAAAAGCAGCGAATCCAGCAGGAACAGAAAGACCATCATCCCCCGCTGCGTGCCCAACATGGTGTGTCTGCACAAGTACATCGTCTCGGAGGAGTCGGTGTTCCTGGTGCTGCAGCACGCGGAAGGTCGGTGCACTCCCATTGTTTCTGCCCTCTGGAGTGGCACCTGCCGGCTTCCAGTTCATGCAGCGTCCTCCTTACCCCTGTCATTTTCCCCAGCAGAGAAAATACGTGAACCCTACTAAGAAACTGTTCCTTGCTCCTCTGCCTACCTCCCTATTTCGGGTTGTGATGGAAATGAAAAGCCAGGCGAAGGGCAGATTTCATGTGCACCGCGGTGGTCTGCATGCACGCTCTTCCTTAACCTGCTCATAGGATTTATCTCCTGTAATGAGGACTTCGGTGTGATTGCATGCTAAGAGAGTTGTATTTTAGGGATTTTATTTTGTTCTCTTGTCTCTACTAAAAAGATACATTTGTGTTAGATGACTAAAATGAAAAACATCCCCTGAAGAGTTAATTAATTACTTCCTTTTTATAGAAGGCAAGGTGTTTGCTTAACATTTGTCATTACCTGGCTATTCTGATCTGAGTCTTTGTGAATACAGCCATTGGCATCACATATGGATATAAAGCAGAGGCACAGGGCTCTACTCTGCCTTCAGACTCTGAAATTTCAGCTCTCAGTAGAGGAAACAGGTGGCAAAAAAATTACTATGTTTTGATTTGGCTTTGCCTGTTAACACATAAATTTGAATAGTCTTATTTAGAATGACTAAATACAGCATATAAATAGAAATTCACTTAATATATATGTTGCTTTTTAGTTCTTTAAATGGTATTTTTAAAATAGTAAGAAAAAGTTATTTTGTGTATTTCATGAAGGTGTTATTATTTTTATATGACTGAGAATAAAGAATTCTTGTGCCTTCCCAATAGGCATAATATCTGAATTTAATACATTTTCTCAGAAAAAAAAGTCATTGTTTTCTGGAATGAGTCCTCTTATGGTAACTAATGCAAGATTTTTGATGGGGGCAATAAACTATTAATATTGTTTATTATGAAGTACAGCACAAGATAACTACAGATGGAGGGAAGACCTCCATATGCAGTATTTAATAGGAAATTCAGAAGGGGCTCCGTGGTCTCACAGGTATTAAGAGAGTTAATTGCGTGTGTGAATTGGATAACTAATTCACCTTTGTTCAGACATTATAGACAGCTTTTATCTGAGGATACCAGTGCATTACAGACATTATTGAATTAGAGGTCATGTCATCTGATAGCGAAATACAGCCACCTCTGGTGTGGAACAAAATAACTTGCGTAGTAATAATCCATAATAATTTAGAACAAGGTCAGTAGGATGAATGTAATTATAGTCAATAGTCTGTTACCCAGCGTGGATTATTCATGTTGGAGATTATCTGGCAAATTTTCAATCCTAGCTTGCCTCTGTTATTTGTGGCTCTGCCTTCTCCTTCCTTCTCTAAATCACACTTCAGTTTTTCTTCTGCCGTCTTCTCTTCGTCCCCGGACCTCTTAGAGCTGATGCTCCAGCTGATGTTAATGTGGTAAGACAGTTTCATCAAGCCTGGATGTCACAGACGTAGGACTTTCAAGTTGGTCACTGTTTAGCTCATCTTTACCAAGTCTCTTTCCCTTTACGTTGGCCACACCTTGCTTTGAGTGACTGCAGTTTGAACTCGGAAGAGATACCTCTTTTGACTTTCTTCAAGTGAGGTATCTGTTGTTTAATTTTAAGAACTCTTGTAATACAAAGATAGTAGCTTATAGTGCAAATAGGAACTCTCAATACAGTTATTATTCCACGGATTTATTGAGCAAGCACTCTTTTTAGGTGAACGAGCCAGGAAAAGAGCCTACCCTTTTGAAATTTGAATTCTTTTTCTGGAGGTCAAACAGGAAAACAAAATAGAGGGGTGGATGCTTATAGGGATGACCATGGTCTTTAACCTGGGGAGATGTAATAGAGAACAGCGGAGGGGCCACTGTAGATTACGTTGTCTAGGATCTCTCTCTGAGGAGGTGACCATTAAGAGAAGTTCTGAGTGGCAAGAGAAACAACCATTTGAATGTAAGGTCCAGTCCAGGGAGAAGAGTGGAAACAAACTTGGAATGTTTGATGAGCAAGAGAGGAGACCACTGGGCCGGGGATTTAGCTCAGTGGTTCTGCCACCTGCCTCAAAAGTGCAAGGTCCGGAGTTCGCTCCCTGGTACCAAAAAAAAAAAAAAAAAAGAAAGGAGACCATTTGGCTGGAGTTTGGGAGGGGAAGCCAGCAGAGCCTTGGACAGCAGGGTGAGCCCCGGGGCAGGACTTTGCCCAGGGATGTTGGCAAGCCATTGGGTGTCTTAGGCAGTGATAGGGTCTGATGTACATTTTTAAAAGTCGCTCTGCTGTTGGGTACGGAATGGGTTGTAGAAAGTTGTGTAGGGCACGGATGGTGATGGTGTGGGCCTCTGGGGCCTAGATCAGGGAGAGGAGAATCTATGCTCATTTCCCTGGTTTGGCTTGAGCACTGCGATGAACTGGACGATAAACAGGGTATTAGCTTTAATAGATCAGTAGAACTTGATTAGGAGGATCATGGGTTAGGACTTTTGCATAGGTCATAAAAAAGCCACTTTCATATATGTATATATTTATTACTGAAAAGGTAAATCTTGAACAGTTGTTTTCTCCACAGTACAGATGCTTAAATATTTATGATTTGTAGCTTCAGTTCTTACTGCTTATAGAAGTATTTTTGATTTACAGGAGTCTCATAGACTCATTTTCTTTCTATTTTTGACTCATTCAGTTAGAAATTTGTTGAGTGCTTAATGGGAGGTGCAGGCATAGTGCTGACATAGAGTGCACAAAACAGAAGACTTTGCTTGCATGGGACCTATGTTGAATGATAGAGGAGGAAGAAAGAGACAGTAAGCAAACAAGGCTTTCTCCATAGGTATTATGGAGAGAAAGAAAGGAGGGGGAAGGAAGTGCCAGAGGGGCAGGGGAGTTGCTGTTTTGTATAGGGCAGGACCTTACTGACAGGCACATTTCAGTGGTTGCACAGGCCACTCTCTGCTGTCTGGGTATTCTGTGTGAGACAGGAATCCCCTGACGAGTGCTGAGCAATGGAGTGACAATGTAAGGATCCCGGTGGCTGTCAGTGGAAAACAGGAGATAGGCAGCCAAAGGCAGCAGCAGGGAGACCAGCGTGGATGTGGTAGGGCTGCAGATGAAAATGATGGCACTTGGACGCCATGTTTGTATTAGTCCATTTTCTAGCAGCATAACAAAATACCTGAGGCTGAGGACTCAATAAAGAAGAGGGATTTATTCAGTTTATAGTTCTGGAGTGGCGCCAGAATCTGCTCAGTTCTGACGAGGACCTCGTGGTTAGGGCGTCATAGCAGTGGGAGCATGTGTGAGGAGGGGATCGATCGCATGGCCGCACAGGAGGCCAGAGCCACCCGGGCCCCTGAGGACTACAAAATCCCTTCTGCTCCAAGAGCACGACGCGTGACCCCATGACCTCCTCCAAGCTCCATTCTGAAAACCTCGGGTACCAGGCTTCCAAAACATGAGCATTTGGGGACACACTTAGACCATAGCAGGGTTAGTGGTGGCGGTGAGGAATGGTTATTACAGTTTGAATATATGTATGTGTGTGTGTGTGTATATTTATATATAAATATATATATATATGGATGCTTTTCTGGGGTCTGAATGTATTTTGGGGGCAGAACTGACATGATTCTGCCTTGCATGACTACAGGATATTTGGCTGTCTCTATCAATCTCTTTCTGGTTTTTTTTGGTGGTACTGAGGATTGAACCCAAGCCCTTTGGACTGAGCGAGATCCCAGCCCTCTGTGTGAGTGTGTGTGTGTGTGTGTGTGTGTGTGTGTGTGTGTGTGTGTGTTTACAGTCTTGATGCAGAGTCTCTCTAAGTCACTAAATTGCAGTTGCTCAGATTCTTCTCAAACTTTCAGTCCTCCTGCTTCAGCCTTCCAGAATGCTGGGATTACTGGGGGCTACTACCATGTCTGAAATACTGAAAGAATGAGGTTTCCATTACCAAACTGAGGGAGGAATAGATTTAGAAGGAAAAATCAGAATCTGTTTGGGACATGTGAGTTGGAGATGCTTATTAAATATCCAGGTGGTGTTGAGAAGGAAGCGGGATATATCAGACAATATTTTAGGAGAGAGGTTTATTGTTCCTTTCGATGACTCTCCGAAGTCTGTTTGAAGGAGAAGTGGGGAACCGATACATTCCGACAAAGCAGTGAGTGTTTAAGCTTCTAAAATGAGAGCCTAAGTCTTGATCCCCATGTAGATACCAGTGCTACAGAGGGCTCCATAGTAACGGGTGAGCTGGAGAGGAGAAGAAGGACGAGGCCAGAAGATCGGGGCTGCGCAAACCCTGGGTGGATGCATCAGACAGGAGTGGGAAGGGTTCCTCCCCGAAGCCCTTGGGGAGTTCTGTGGTGAAATAATTCTCTTTTTATTAACTAAGTTTTTAAATTATAAAGCTAATCTGTAAGCAAATATATCCAAACTCTATAGAAATATATAAAAATAAAAATTCTCCTCCCTATTCACTTTAATGCCCAGTCCTAGTCCCCAGAAGTAAACACTTTTATTGTGTTTGTCTTCTAACACTTTTCTGTGTGTAAACATACATTCCCTACTTGTTTTTTTTTTTTTTTTAAATGTTTTAAAATGTGGTTCTTACCATACTGCTTTATTGCTTTTGCCCACTTGGCAGTGTGCCTTGGGCACCTCTCTTAGAAGTTCAGGTCTGCGTTGAGGGAGACAGCGTTGTGGAGTTAAAAGCAAGGGTTGTGAGGGCTGCCCGCTCGGGACCTCTCCTGCCCTCGGGAGCTTTCCTATCAATAAATATCTTCCTACTTTAAAAAAAGAAAAAGCAAGAGTTGTGAGCCAGGCCATAGGAACGCAGTGCTGGTTTGAACTGTTACTAGTTGTGAGACTTTGGGCAAGCTGCGTAATCTTTCTGTGCCCCTCTTCCCTGATTGTAACCCAGGATGTAATAATTAGCTGCTGTATCGGATGATGCAAGGATTAAATAGTCGGTGTGTAGAAAGCACTTAGAATAGTACTGGGCATGTGGTAAGTGCTATGCATTTGCACATATTGCGATGATGTTTTGGAGTAGATACAAAGTGTTTTACCATAATTGACTCCCTCACTAATTGGTCTTTAAATTGTTTCCATTAATTGTATATAAATATTTTTGCGCGTTTCTTCCATATAGAAACATTTTTATTTCGGTAACATGTCCCAGAACAGGCCAGTTAGTAAAATAGATTCTAGAAATACAGCCTATGCACAGCCCTCCTTCCTCAAAAATAACTCTGAGGGTGAACATTTCCCTCCCCCTGGGCTCACTGGGCACGACAAATGTTTGGCAGCTCTGTTTGTGGTCTGAGTATGGGACACTGTGTCCATGTCCCTCCCCTCTTCTTAGGGTGTGGCAGCAGTAGCTGGTCTCAGGTCTCTACTGAAACCAGCCCAGCCAAAATTTTTGCTCCCTCCAAAATGTGGAACCAAAGCAGAGAGCAAATGGGTCCCCTCCGCTGGAGTTGGGCAAGGCTCTGTGGGTTTTAAGTTTTTAAAAATTAAATTATGTTTTAGAATTTTTTGTTGGACAGATGTCTTGAAATGGAATTTCTGGGTCAGAGGATGATTTCTCTCATTGTTATAACAGTATTTTGTCATACGTATTAAATTTTTAAAGTCCAAATTCCGGTCAAGCATATTAACACATTTACTGTGCAATCTTGTAGAAAACCAATAAATTAAAATATGATGAGAGACAAAAAGAGTTTTAATTAAACCTCATGAATTACTGTTTTTATAGCTTAAGATGATTCAAAAATTGCAATTTCATATGCTTCAAAAGAGCTTAGTAAAATTGGCTTTTTTTTTTTGTGGTACCGGGGATTGAACTCAGGACCTTGCACTTTTGAGGCAGGTGGTGGCACCACTGAGCTGAATCCTCAGCCCCAGGGCCTCGTAAAATTAAAATTACAAATATTTTGGGTATTTCCTACTTGTATTTTGTGATTTAGCAATAGCAGAATTTTTAAGGCCAGTGTTACTATTGTTAAAATAATAATGTTGATGTGTAAGTTTGTTAGACCTGATCTTAACTCTGAGAAAGTAAAAACCCATCCAGCTTTTGTGGTGGAGAAATTTCAAAGGGAGTAATGTGTTCTTGTAGATTGTGATTTTCATGATTTTACAACTAAAAAAACGATGAGATATGACAAAAATTTCATTTCTTTAGTTCCGTATGAGCATTAAGTTTCACTGGGCACTCAACGGAGAATGAGAAAGAGTTAAAACAGTTTGTTTTCCCCCCTTGAAAATACAGTGTTTATAATTCATGCTCCGGTACTTATTTAGGCTGGGAACAAATTCCATAAAAAAATGCCAATGATCACATTTAAAATTTTTATCTAATAATAAAAGCATTGGAAATTAAATAGGTTCTCATTTTGGTTAATCCAGTTGCTAAACTTGCCAGTATCTGATGCAGGCAGCTCGCTGTAAAGATGGTGCTGTTATGCATAGCTTAAAGGAGCGGATTCTGCTAAAGCAGTTTAGCAACACATAGCAAACACATTAAAAATATTCATGCTTCTTGGTTCAGTACTTTCATTTCTGGGATTCTATCCCAATGAAATAATTGGAGATGCCAAATATTTGTATGTAAAAATATTTATTATTGTAGTTATAATAGTAAAAGACTGGAAGCAACTTAAATGTCCAACAGAGGAACATTGAAATCCATCATAATACCTACCACGTGGATGTGCTGTGCAGCCACTGCAGCTCACTTTCTCATGAAAATTAGAAAGTGTTTACAAGCTGATGTTAACTGTGAATAAGAAACTGAAAATAAATATAGTAATGGCTTAATAGTGTTTATCATTAGATGGTGGGATTATGATTGATTTTGATTTTGGTCTTTCTGTTTTCTGTATTTTCTAAAAATGTTCCAATAAAATTATATTCGTTTTAAAATAGAATGAAAGTTTGACCCTCCTAAAATGACATTATTAGTACTACTTACAGACCTTCTTCATTGAAAGGTTTAGAATTTTTTGTAAAATATTTTTGTAAAGACGGGATCCTTTTATAACTGTTTAATAAACATTTATTTGATAACTATTTTACATACTAGATAGAATCCCCTGCCTGCAGTTGTTAAGACCTTGCCATCTGGTAAAGGAGAATATAGAAACATAAAAGTAATATTAATATAAAATAGAATGTTGTAAATGTCATATGAGGGATGAAGTGATATAAAGGACTTGGAGAAGATAGGAATTATGTGAGTGAGGGAATACAATGAAGCTGGTCTAAGAGAACAAATTCTCAAGCACCTTCAAGAATGGGTAGGATTTTGACAACCGGATGTTGGAGCAATTAGTAGGGAAAAAAATTCTAAATGCTAAATGTAGTATAAGGAAAGCTCAGGCTGAGTTCTGCAGGGGAAATCCAATTTGGAGGAATTGTGTAGTAAGGGGAGGACCCAATTGTGAGTTGATACTCTATTCTTGAAGGGTTCAATTCTTGATGTGGAGCTGGTCATGATTCCATAGGTCGAGGGGACCTGAGTTCTTGAATGGAGAAATGGTGTGATAAAATCGGTGCTAAAATGGAAGATTAGTTGGGCATCAGCCAGTGTGCTAGAGCAATAGAGCAGGCACTTCAAATAGGGTCTCGCTGGTGCTGCAGTGTTATCCCAAGAAGCACAGAGAGAGCATTCAGAGAATTGAAAGAAGAGAATGTCTGGGAGAAACATTGAAAGAAGATCCTGTAGGACTAGGAAGAGCAAAGAAGAGAAATCATCCAAGTTTGATCCAGTTTGGGGGACAAAAATAATTTAAGTACAGTGAATTTTAGATTTCAGTAGCTCATCCAGGTGGAGTTGGCCTAAGAGCAAATGAAGCTTACCTGAGAACTTCTTAGTGGTGTTTCTTGCTGGCCACTGGAAGCCTCCAGAGGCAGATGCTGTCTACTTGGGATGGCGCGTCTCCTTCTGAGGTGTCATCATCTGATGGGACCGCTTTGGGCAGTGGCTGCCAGGCCCTGAACACTGTATGGAAAGTAGGTCTAAAAAGATGAAAAAAGCTTGGTCCTTTCCTTGATGTAGTCATAATCTAGGAGAGTTGGAAACCACCAGTGGCATTTTATTTGGATTGCATAAGAATCTCAGCTTCAGGTTCAGGCATTATTATTAGAGTGTCACAGTATAGGCATTTGTGATAAGAAGAATGTGGTTATTGTTGTCAAAAGACAAAAAACTTAGGGAGTCAATCTTTTGTGAGTGAGCTTGAAAATCTAATGTGAGTTCTTAATCATTAGCTTGAACACAGGAATTGTAAAGCACTGAATACATTCTAAAGAGGTCAGAAAGCAATTAGCTAGGAAGAAATGAGAAGGAAAAGTTATACCTATACCACTGTTACCAAGGGGAAAGACTGTTAACTAGATCACTGGTAGAAAGAGATGTATGAGAATCCTAGGATTGATATTATGACAGTTATCTTTTATTGAGCATTTATTCTACATTAAGCACAGGCTAAGGTGCTTTATGTACTTACTGAATGTGTTGAGATGAAAAGTGAAACAAATTTTTTGGATGGTTCTTTCAACTTTTACATATGCCAGTTGACTGCCAATGATTATTTTTCTAAAGATTTGGCTGCCTTTGTTATATGATACTTAATAGCAAGATAAACTTTTCTAACAATTTTCTGCCTTATATTATTATGGGGATTTACTTTTAATGCATTATTAATAAATTTCCATTCTTGGACTATAGTTATATATACTTTCACAAAGTATGCTGCTGCACCTATTGTTTTTGAGATTTCTGGATCAAATTTTCTTTGATACTTCTTTGATATATTTAATTTAAAAACAGTTTAAAAAATTTACTAGGAAGAACCAGTTCTTCATTGCTACCTCAAGTTAAATCAGGTAAACAATGTAAAAAAACATCTGTGTACACTTACATGAGAGGCTCCGGATCATAGAGATTACTGATTCCTGTATACTTGTTTTAATGATGTTTTTAATCTGTGTCAGTGTTTGGTACTTATTATAGTTTTTTATGGAAAGATTCTAGTTAGCAAAAATTCTGAGTTTTTACTGATGAAAACAAAAGAAAAATATGGTGAAATAACTGCATAGCATCTATTGCTGGTAAAATGCTGGGCTGGCACATTGTTCAGGGCTGGAGCACTTGCCTAGCATGTAGGAAGCCCTGGGTTTAATTCCCAGCACTGCAAAACGAAACAAAACTACTACTACGGCTACTACTAAAACAACCCAGATTATTTCATGTTTATTTGATTTTTGTAAAAGTGATTTATATGATTTTAGTTTAGTTTATCTCATTAATGGCTGCCCAGTTAGTCTTCCTTCAGATTTTTACTTGTTTTATACAATACATGACATGTAGCAGGGTACATAAAATAGGGAACTATTATTAACATGTCCTTTATAAAGGAATAACATATACAAATGCCAGATTTTCCCTCTGATTTTCTATTGGACCATTTCAAAATGGAATATGATTGTTAAGTTTTTTCAACTGTACCATACAATTTTAAATAGCATTATATATTTCTGCTTGCTCAGTTATTACATAAACAGGTCAGAACATAATTGTTTGTTTCTAAGATGAAGCAATATTTAAAGCAAGATTTTAACTGTGAGATTTCATATTAGTATTTGTTATAACTGATATCCCTTCAAAAGAAGAAATAAGTTGTTATTTTAAAAGTAGTTAATATCAGAAGTTATATTTGAAATCATACTTTCTGGGTAATAACATTTAAGTTATATCACATCTTATTAAATGTTTGTCTTATAGCACATTTGATATTAATGAGTATCATTGACTTGTGTTTGATTATTAGAATACCTGATTTTTCTAGTGGCTTAAATAAATGTCAGTTTGGGGATCTTAATTTTCTTTTGTTGTTACACTTGTTCACAGGTGGCAAGCTCTGGTCATATCTCAGTAAATTTCTAAATAGAAGTCCTGAAGAAAGCTTTGACACCAAGGAAGTAACGAAGTCCATGCTTGCTGAGGTTCACCTGCAGCAGCCAGCTCCCAGGCCTCAGGACAGCAGCTGCTTTGAGTCCAGGGCCAGCGACGGGGGAGGTGTGCTCAGAGTTCTTCCTCTGAAGACCAGTCTCACTCCAAGTTCTCAAGAGGACAGCAACCAGGAAGACGATGGCCAACACAGCTCTCCAAAGTGGCCCGATTCTGGGTCAAGTTCAGAAGAGGACTGCACTACTAGTTATTTAACATTGTGCAATGAATATGGTCAAGAAAAGATCGAACCAGGGACTTTGAATGAGGAACCCTTTGTGAAGACCGAAGGGAAGGATGTTGGTGCCAGAGCCGTCCAGCGCTTCCCAGCATGCCTTGTTGCCGACAGTGCCGACTCCAGCACACAGCTGAGAGCTCACGAGTTGAAGTTCTTCCTTGGAGATGAGGACTCTGAAGCACTTCCTTCTCCAAGAACATCCGATTCCCTTAGCAGATCAAAAAACAGCCCCATGGAATTCTTTAGAATAGATAGTAAGGACAGCACAAACGAATTTCTGGGACTTGATTTTGGAGAAAAATTGTACAGTCTGAAATCAGAACCCTTGAAGCCATTCTTTGGTCTTCCAGATGGAGACCACACTTCCAAGAGTTTGAATGCCAGGGAAAGCAGGGTTGAGTTTACAGCTCTGGACACCGTTAGCAGGGGCTCAGATGACTCAGTCCCAGTTATCTCGTTTAAAGATGCAGCTTTTGATGATATCACTGGTACTGATGAAGGAAGGCCTGATCTTCTTGTAAATCTACCTGGTGAATTGGAGCCACCAAAAGAACCTGCAGCTATAGGACCTATTAAGTTTACACAGACTTCCCTAGGCAGAGTAGAAAATAAGCTGCTGGAGGCTCCGGACGTGTTAGGTCTCCGGCTTAGTGCTGAACAATGCCAAACCCCTAAAGAGGAAGGCTCAGAGAACCTGAGTGGCCCCTCTAGGCCAGAGACACACTATGTCCAGGAGGACCTGGGGGTGTTATTTGTAGCAGCTGTTGATCATAGCGGTTCAGAAGACGCGACTTTGTTACATAACTCAGTTCCTAAGTTTGGACGACTCGGAGTAACTGAGTCGGCATTAACTGGAGACAGCGTGGAAGAAAGCTTATCCCATATTTCTAATACACTCTCAGGTGCTAACAAATATAATGCAAACACAGACACTTTAAAAACAGAGGAAATATTGCTGTTTACAGATCGGACTGATGACTTGGCTACTTCTTTATTCCAAAGAAACTCAGAGACTAAGGGCGAAAGTGGGTTAGCCCTGGAAGGAGACAAGGAAATCCATCAGATTTTTGAGGACCTTGATAAAAAATTAGCACTAAACTCCAGGTTTTATATCCCAGAGGACTGCATTCAAAGATGGGCAGCTGAAATGGTGGTAGCCCTTGATGCTTTACATAGAGAGGGAATTGTGTGCCGCGATTTGAACCCAAACAACATCTTATTGAATGATAGAGGTCAGGAACTTTTGCAAATGCATTTCTTTTTATTCGCTGTTGCTTCCAATTAACTGAGTAGGCGTTTTATCTTGTAATTAGTATCTTCATTTCCTGTCTAGAGCTTCATTATCAGTGCGGCAAATTCACCCCCAGTAATAGCTTCTAGTACTTAATGATGCCATTATTCTTAATGATACTGTTTTTAGCTACAAAAGGAGTAATTACAGTTCACTTCTGCAGAAAATGGAAGAGAAAAATGTTTTGATTTCTCCTGTCGTTTTGTTTTTAGGACACATTCAGCTAACGTATTTTAGCAGGTGGAGTGAGGTTGAAGATTCCTGTGACAGCGATGCCATAGAGAGAATGTACTGTGCCCCAGGTTAGAGCAATCTCCTAAAATGTTTCACTTGAAAAAGTGTCTCGGCAGCTCTTGTTTCTTTATAGAAGTTATACATTTCACTAGCAGTTCTCATATGTGTTGGCTTTGGTTGTCTCTTTTCTTATCCTCCAGAAAAGAAAATTACAAGATAAAACATTACATAATCCACAGATAAGTATTTGTATGTATATATATGTGTATATACATCTGTCATTCTTGGTAAGAGTTTATGCTTCCCTCGCAATGGATTGTTAAAAATGTCTTAACCTAGTGTTTAGAAGAACTGTTTAATATCCTGAGTGTCTTTACATGGATGACTTTTATAAGCTGTGAGAGGTAGCAGACTGAAGAGTAAAATTCATAAGGCTAAAAATGGATGAAAATGAAGAATGTTAAAAAATACAATAATGTCATTTCAGTGATGAGCCAACCTGGCATTTCAGACCATATTTTAAAGAGTTCATTCTGTATTTGAGGTAATTAGGAAGCAGGTCCTTGTTTTTAAAAATAGCCTATTTAGCCAATATTTGACACAACAGGTTTCTCTTGTCCTTACTGTATTGTTTATGTTTTTAAAATTAGAAATTTATTTCTGTGACCATTTGATCCTATGTTGGGAGTTTTAAGTAACTTAAATCTGTGAACTGGGCTTGAGTTATTTTCCGTTGTGAGTTCAGAGTGGGATCTATTTGAATTGAAAGTTTGTTCACTTTTTGCCCAGCACTACCCTCTTTGGATGACTGGAGTCGCCCCGTTTGTCACCCTTTGACCTTCAGAGGAGTTTTAAGTTAACTGTGTTAACACGATCTTGGTTGTTGATCCCTTACGGTTAAAGAGAGTGCTGGGGATTGAACTCAGAACTGCTCTACTACTGAGTGACATCCCAGCCCTTTTTATTTTTTGAGACATGGTCTTGCTTATTGGCCCAGGCTGACCTTGAACTTGCAATCCTCTTGCCTCAGCTTCTTGAGTAGCTGGGATTAGAGTAGTGCATCACCACACCTGGCTTCAGTACAGTGTTGAGTGGCTGCTAGCAGGCCTGGCTGTTGTTGTCAGCTAATCTTGTTTAGTTCTGCTAACAGGAAATTATTATAATTAGGATTCAAGCTTTATTCTTTTTAGCTATAACCTTCATTGTTAAGAATTACTTCTGTGGGGCCGGGGATTTAGCTCAGTGGTCTTGTCGCCTGCTGCACAAGCACAAGGACCTGAGTTCGATCCCCAGTACCAAAAAAAAAAAAAAAAGAATTACTTCTGTATTGAGGAATGGGAAAAAATTCTCAACCTACAAAGCAAGTATCCTAAAACTTCTCCCAACAACCATTTGAGAACTGTCACTCTTTTCTTTTAAAGAGTTTTTCCTGTATTTTTTTAATCTTTTCCCCAAAGTAGGACTCTTTGATTTAACTTTATTCGTAGAGAAAACAAATCATGCCTACAATTTTTTCTCAAATAGATAACATGATACTGTTTTTTGAAACCATATTAGTGCGATACAGTTAATGTGAGAACAAAAAACTTCATAGTAAAATCACTTTATTATAGTCTGGGTTTTACAGATCCCCTGACTTTCTAATTTGATAAGAAATAACATTTTAGGTACTGATCAACGTACATAAAAGTATTTATTAATTATTAAAATTTGGAGTTTTTAAGATCCAAATTAAATTTGGGAGTTCTTTTGAGTGAAGCCTGTTACATCTTGAAGTGCAGTGTAAAACGTAGAACAAAATCAAACATCTGTGGGACATTATGTTTATAACTGACTGCTTATTTCCTGTTTTTATTGTTACTTTTTTTTATATTGAAAATGGTATTTTGACATTCTAGCAGATTATTTTTCTTTAGTCTTAAGCAGGGTTTTGTTTAATATTCAGAGTACCTTGGCATCCTGAGAGGTGTAATTGTGGGATAAAACAATACTACAGTCATCGACAGATGTATACTTTTAGGTTTGTCTCCTGAAATACTAAGTTCTCAATCATGAATCTCATAATATACCAGCAGGGGGCAGTGTGCCATTAGTGGATTTTTTTTTTCCTTTTCCGTCCTCTTCCAGGTTGTCCTTCACTCGCATTTAGGGGATAAAAAACCCCTGGAGTCTAAAGAGGGGTTTTGTTGTAATTATTTGCATAAGAGAATTGTCCCTTGAAGCTTTGTGAGTTGCACAGGTGTTCCAATATCAGGGCATGCATTGAACAATATGGAAAGTTTTGCCTGTCCATGGGCCTCTTAACTTAGCAACAAGGAGAAACAAAACCAGGCATGGTCTTAACAGAAAAGTGATACCAGTATTCTAACTTAGATGATCTCAAACCTAGAGAGTCAGAGAACTTAGTCAACTCTTAGGTGCTCTCACCTTTTGCTTAAAATACTAGGGGATTTGGAGCAAAAATCTGTAACTTACTGTTTTTATGAGACCAAATAGCAGTGGTACTGATAAAAACTATAGGTAGGCATTCCTCCTTTCTCTTAAATGGTGGGGTTAATGACAGTATTTCATTGTTTAAATGTAATCCCAGCACTCTGGGAGACGGAGGGAGGAGAATCAGAAGTTTGAGCCCAACCTGGGCAACTTAAGTGACTTAGTGAGACCTTGTTTCAAAATAAAAATTTTTAAAAAGATGGGGCTGTCCCTCAGTGTGAAGGCCCTGTGTTCAATCCTCAGTACTGCAAAAATAAATAAAAAAATAATTTTAAATTTAGTAAGTAATAGAAAACTGAACTCTCTTTTGATATATCCTTAGAAACAGCAGGGTTGAATTAATTCCCCTACCAACTCCCTCTCCCCTCCCCATACCAACTCTAACCTTAGTATTATTGTGCAAGTAACTCTAAAGCGTGTTGAGCAGCTAATGTTTGCTTAGAAAGTAAAGTTGTCACAAGATTATGATGAGAACCGTTCACTTCTGTTTAAACAGCATGCAGCTTTTACCCGGCCACTCCTCCCTCCTGGGAATCCTTATCACATATTTGTCCTAAAAACATTATCCACCTGCCCTGTGCTTTATAATATCAGCAATGTATCTTTTTATCTTGTGAGTGAGGTGCCTTTATATTTTGAGAAAAATTTCCAGTAACAGATTCGATTTACATGGACAGAAACTTGAGCAAATGCCAAACTAGCAGGGGGGCCATTATTCTGCTCTATAAATAAGTTTAAAACAGAAAAAACACACACACAAAAACCTGTGAATCAACATGTTTTGGTCTAATTGAGGGGAAAAGCAAGATAGATAAATTTTGAAATGCAAATGATCACCTTCTGTTATTGAAGAATAGTTTTTGCCAACTTTGTGTTCTTAGATTTTAAAATGTCCCAGTTAGTTCAACAACGTATATGGCCAAAGAAGTCCGATGCTTACAAACAAGTTCCTGCAACAAATCTAAGACCTTTTTTAAAAAGTTGTCTCTTTAAATATTAAAACAAACCCAACAAGAAAAAGACAAAAGCCACGGAGCTGTCTCTGTCTACATCTGTGGAAAATCCAGGACGTAAATGGCTGCAGCTGCAGACCCATCCAGCGGGTCTTAAGAATACAATTCACTGATGAAACCCAGCCCTTTCAAAGGAGAACCCATTCTGTTTAGGTCCACTTTGTCTCCTTAGGTGTTCCAGGATGGTTCTGTAGGAAGATTGTACTTTAAATAAACATCACTCGTGGTAAATGGGCTCCTCTCATACGCAGACACAGAATGGAGTTCAGGAAGAGAGAAAGCAAAGAAATGGTCCGCAGAGCAAGGACACGTTATATAGCATGACAGTATAAATACACACAGTTGCCATCTTAGGAGGCTCTTAGATACTTTATTGGGAGACTTTTAGACAAGTTCTTCTCTTTTTCATTGTGAGCGATTATAGAAAAAAACTGGGGTAGTTTATGTATTCTTTTCCAAAGGCCTTCCTTATAATTACTCTGATTTTATTTCTGTTTGAACACAACACATACATACACAGACACAGATACATAGTCTTTAGCCAGAGGATTTTATATGCTTTATCATGTGATAAAGTACAGAGTTCATTTTAGCTATAAAGGAAAAAGTAAACAAGATGTCTAGGAAATACTTAATTTTTTCATTTGCTACCAGTATTTTTTTTTTTTTTACCAATCTTAACTCTCATTTTTAAAAAAGCAGCCAGAAAAATAATACATTTATACAGTTAATCATGTAAAGTACAAAAGACTATATTTGAAAGTTTAATGTGAGATCTAGCACAAGTGAGTAAAATTATGTTAGTTATTTTGCTAATACTGTATAATCACTTCAGTTTCCCATTCTAGTCTTAAACAAGTTGATATGGTACCTTTTAGTCTTTTAGTGTCTTCAATTTTATTTTCTCCCCAGTTATGAACCTTTTAATTTAAATGCTTGAAATTTACATTATTATTTTTCAATGAATACTTTTCAGACTGGAGAATTTCTAGGTGAATATGTGTGTAAATTGAAGCAGTCCATAATGCTTCTCGCTGCAGCCCAATCTCCACGCTCCCAGATGTCAAATGACAGCTTTGCTTCCTCTGTTAGGCGATTTCACACTTGGAAACAGCTCACAGCTGACGGTGAAAAGTGAAACATAGAAAAACCATGCTGAAGAGTATCTGCAAAATTCAGTTTTAGAGCATGACATTTCTTTACTACCATCCTTTGCTGTTCTAGCCTGACTTTATCAAATAATTCATGAATATATTTTTTGGGGATAGTCTCTTCTGCCCTTCTCCATAAACATGCTTTCCACCCGATTTCTTTCTTTTAAAGCATGGTGCTCTGTGTGATAGTTAGGTATTTCATAATTAGAACTAAAAGTCAGACCATGTACAGTTTAAAATGTTAGAAGTTTAAGATTTAGACTATTTAAATGGCATTGGAAGTTACCAAACCTGGCTGTTTGTCCCAGAGCCAGCATTAACTCATTGCATGATGTTTGACAAGTTACTGAGGACTTTACAGGCCTCAGTTTAACAGTAGTAAAATAGATGTTTTGAGTATAAACAAAA